CGACTTCAAGTCAAAACACCCGACCAATTCGTCTTCATTTAAACATCCTAGAAAGCAAGTAAACATTAACGGTATGACGTCATCACCGATAAGCGCCGCACGGGACCCCGGTAGGAAGTAATCCCATTCAGAAGTAGTTTTTTATCCCCTGACCTAGCCATTACTACCTTAGTATAAAGTACAGGTTCCTCGGTCTATAATCATTAGTTTCCAATTAGATTCCACTGTGTCTGTAGGAGCTGAGAGGAGATATGTCTACCCTCTCCCCTCCCCAGCACCATCAGCCGTATGTAAGGACATGGAATTGTGGATCGATAAGTGCCTCACATGTCCTACTGTGTGCTCGTAGATTTCGGTTTATACTGCTGCATTGGTGCTCCCAAGACAGCAAGACGATAGCTATTTTTTTTTTAAACTCTGTTAATCTCAAAGTAAGTCGGGCCTTTCATTTCTATTTCAACGGATCGCGTTTGACAGTTTCCTCTTCAAACAGAGAGAAATTCTTTATCTGAACTTTTAACTATTTTTTTTCTTTTCAGTAAAAGTCGAATCCATTAATGATGATATCGTTTGTAACTTTGAATTATATTAAAACGATAGACATTTTGTATGATTTTTTTTTTTTTATCCGATTTGATGTAAAGCTGACATGACATTGCTTAGTCGGGACTAATGGTCCTCTGATCCGTACGGAATTTTGTAGTCGGTATCTAATTGTCCGGTAGTTCCCAAGGAAACATTGCCAGGCCCTGCGTGATCTTTTGATTGTATTTCAGAAGAACCTCGCCACCCTAGTGCCGTCTTTGGAAATGCTGTAAAAGATTATCGACATTTCCCGAACATTTATCAAGTTTGACCAAATAATGAAACCGCCGCATATCCATTTCCGCCCAATCAAACTCGCAATGAATGCTGGGACTTAACAATATATAACGTGCCGACCGGGTAATCATCAAACCGGAAATTGGTATGTCCATCTAAGCGAAGACTCGCGAGAGTCGACAGAACACGGTATTTAGAGTCAGATGAGCGTTTGTATGCTTTACGATGCAGTTCTAGAGATATTTAACAAGTAATGCGGAGACAATGTTTCAGTTCTTATTGAAAGATATCTATCGGTATTATGGTGAATTGATGAAAAGGATCTTCTGACGGTATTATTCTTACACTTGCAGTTTCAATAAAAGTAAAGATTTCCCTCCATTCTGTTCAGTATTCACATTTAGTGATAAGGAGAGCATCACACCGACCAAAAATCTAAAGCACACATATTGGAGAACTTCTTTTCAAAACCAGTTTCACTTTATTTATAATCAGCTCGTTTTTCTACACCCTCATTTTGTTGGGTGTCCCACGTTGTTGCTGTCAGTGAAACCTTACACGCCAGTGTCTGACACCCTGCCCCCACACACCTACGCACAATAAGAACGAGGTTGACACCTCGTGACCCTTCGGGATACAGCGAGGCCCTATTTCAGTTTGTTTGGTACATTCCTATAAAACGATCCTGACTTCTTACCTCCATCTTCGTGGATCCGTGACAAAGGTCATTCTATACGTCCAAGCCTTTTTTTCTCAGTTTTACAAGCTTAGCGAGACAATAGCAAACTTTAGTTTGATACGCATTTTCACCAAATGAAATTGACATTTTAGAGACTGGTATTTTTGGCGACAAACGTATCATAAACCTGGTCCTTTTATCATTCTGCGCAATATTTGACTGCACATTTTGAAAATGGCAACATCAGCTCACCACAATATCAGGGTGTGAAAGCAAACTGATTATTGTTACGATCTGGGCTTGAGCATTGTTCATTATCCGCGAGATAATAAGTATATATTACAAGTGTTTCTGCCTGGCAATTCTGATGTTCCATTGTACGAGTTATATCCCGCCTGAAGATCTATATGTTATCACGTCTAAAATACCACAGATCAAATTATGAGCAAGGCCGCCAGTAATCTCAAATGTTCGTGAATCTGTGAAAGTGTATTTCAAAATATTTAAATAACATCTAGTATTCGGCCACGTGTTATAAACGTCCCATACTCTTGTAATAATCCATGTAAACTAACAGTTTTGGCAATAGCCCATGTCTCAAGTAATTGTTCTGAGTTGCATACAAGCTCCGATGCTCTTCTCCGAGTGATTGTTATTGAGTGTTCATCCCTCCCTCTCCCTCCTGTAAGTATCGCACGTACAGACGTTACATATCACGTGTTTTGTTTTACATCAATGGAAATGTACGTGCATTCCTTACTTTCATCTACATTAAACAAATCCCGACTTGTTACATGGAGCGTGCATCAGTCATGTTGTGATGCAGTACTATCAACTGCGCGAGAGATCAGCACGTGCGTGCAGGGATACATTTGTGTCCGTTTTATTTCTATTTCTATTTGGATAAAATACACATAGAAGTCCGATCTCAGACGTGTTGATAGAAGAGTGGCGTCAACTGTAAATTGTAAACCATGTTATACTCCGGGGATAGGACTGTTGGAATCATCTCTAATATATCGTAACTAATGCAAATAAGATATTTCAAATAAATTAGCGTTCCTACATGTGAAATTGTTTCGAGATATTTTAAAACTATAAAAACGCACCATTGGAGAATTGTAAGACGTCTATAGAACATGCAGATAGACTGACATACTGGGGGACAAATTGGTAGATCATCATAATTAGATTATTGTTTCTGAAAATAAATAAAATGCGCGACAGAAAAATGTTTGTGGTATGTATTCAAGTATGTGTGATGAATAAGCGGGGATTGACGGGTCTGTATCTCGTTCTCCGTCCACGATTATTCCCGTTGTCCGTCCACGATTATCCTCGTTGTCCATCCACGATTATCCTCGTTCTCCATCCAAGATTATTCATCAAACATGCATGAAATGTCCACAGATGTAAGTAGTCAAACAAGATATTCGAGTTGAATATATACACAATATAAAGTCCTTGATGTATGGAACCTTCAGCCTCGTAAAGTATAATTTATGTCGAAGAAACAAAGAATCATGTTTCCCTACAACAAGGGCTAATACATACTTTATCATACCGATAAAACAACAACTAAATATATCGTAAACATGGTCAGGTTAGCGGGCCATTGCTGTCTGCTTCCGTCACTTGGAACTCTTCCATTAACGGAAATATGACAGGAGAAACTCGAGCGCGTGAGAACAACACGATATCTTATTTACCCGTTACGTGATCAATATAGTCCAATTAGAAACGCTATTATATATATATGAGGTATAATAATGTATTTACCAGCCATCCTACCGTCATCCAAACAAGGACTGCACTACCACTTTACCGCAGTAATGATAGTTAATAAGACCGAGATTAAAAGATATTAGTCTATGAATATTATCGAAATTACCTCAAACTAAAAATCCAATTTCATGTGAATGTTAATTACAGAAACAGTATCCGTCCTCGGCTAGTGTGTAGAGCATGACAGTGTTGTCCCGCGTGTAATTAACACAGAGTGAGATTAGATTTAAATGGCCGTATGAATCATGTAGGGTGAAAGTCTGACGGGTTATGTAATGTTGTAGAAACTGTTTACAAAATACATAATACAGAATATATACTACTTATGTATTTACTTGATACACATCTCGTTACCGGTTTTCTAAACATGTAATGTAAGGGGGTTAGTATTACTAAATTCTTAACGGCTTATAAACACAGGAAATATCATTTTGGCTAATAAATGGCCGTAGAGAAAAATGTAAAATGAAAATGTTTTAAACGAACGAAATGGTAATTGACAAACGTGAACCTGAATATTAAAGGAACAGACCAATTATTTTAGATACAGACATTTATGTATAGATTTCTTTTTCTTTTGTTGGCCTCAGGTCAACGCAATTTATTTTTGACATGTAAGGGGTGGAGGATGCGAGTGTAACAGTTGCGTAGTCATATCACACAACTCAGTCGAATACAATCTCAGGTAGACGTGCATTGTTGGAATACCAGCCCTACGCCTACAGCCACCTCGCCTCCGCCTCTACCCAGGTCCCACATTATTTATCCTTTAGATATCGCATTTACTAGACGGATTTGACAGTCGTTTTCTGCTCGAGATAATTTCCATAATAATCACAACCTATGGCCGTTTACACAGTCAGATAATTCTGTCAGTCTTCCCAAAGCCGTGCTCCCATAACTCCTCATCCGCCATGAATAACGCGACGATATGCAGATCCCAGCGTAACGAGGCGACCGTTTGTCACCCATACAGACCTCGCAAAACGAAATTGGGGAATTTGCATGTATCTGTATGTGTAGATTAAAGTGTAAGACCTATTGTGGGAATACGTCCCCACATGTCGTTATCACGGGATCTAATTTATCAGGCTCCATTCGATTCGAGGATAAGAGTGCACTTTTGTCACAAACTCGTGGCACGGTAGACCGAGCAATGTCACCTTTCCATGTATAACTGTATGATAAACAATGCGCAGAAACATCAAATTTCAGCAGCCTACTGGGGAACGAGATTTGAATATTACCCGATTTACATGAATTGGTGGTACAGAGTCGTACGTTTCTATGAGAGCGATGTTTGACTGCAACTATAAACAAGCTACTAGGATATACAGAAACTGTCATTGTGCCGTTTATTTACATTAGAATTACATAATATACGCATTTAGCTTCCAGATAAAACTACCAAATCAAAATGTTGCTATGAATGCAAGCCGAAGTCTAGTAGTAACACGTTTTACGTAACATCACGTGGGGCCTCTATGTATGTAACCTTACAATTAGTACATTTCTTTCGGTTATAAACTGTCATTATTATGTAAGCAGTTATCAATATGTATATTCAGGAAATAAATATATATCAAATTTGATCAATTTTAGCATTATGAAATAAATATTCTTTGTGTGTTGTGTTGTTCATTTAGAATATACATGTGATCAGTGCTTGCCCAAAAGAGAGCTTACATACAGGTAAACATAAAAGATTGCTTACCTTGCGGACAGTTGTCGAGCTGTGAGGCACATTCTTGTGAGAACTTCCCCTGTGCTGGCCCGATCTGTGGAAGACAAAAATAACAAAGGAACATTAGTGACACAGAATTAAGATTAAGATCAACTTCAGCTTGAACATTTTCAGAACATTTTAACAAAAATAATAGAATGGCTTTGTCTAAACAAAATCTAATTAAGAATTTTTATGATATGATTCGTATTAAATCTTACCACTTGGCCGTTCGTTACAGTGTCCATATCGAGCAAGTTTTAATTTTTAGAATAACTTCAGCTCTACACCCACAAAACATTGAGATAACATTCAAGTTCAGTTTGGCGATCAGCATAGACATGTTCAGAGATAAAACAGTTTCAGTGAATTTTAAACATTTTGTAGATAGCACGCGCTTTCTTGCATTGCATCAAGGTAGAAAGTGTTCCTGTACTGTTCTCTAACAAGTCCAATCACATAAATACTCAGTAACAGAAAAGAATGTCGGCAATATCGTACAAATCTTTTGAGTGGTGTACACCTTCAACTGCTAACCAACTCGGACAAATAGCAACAAGACATCAGATCGGTAATTATTTATCCGCCAAGAAAACACCCACTATCACGACAACTCGCCCCTTCTATTTTCAAAACACATCAAAAGTTGAATCAGGTCTTTATTGCTGTTTACCGGGATATCGCACCGTCGTTTTATACAAACATCCTCAATAATGGCTTGCTTATCTCCGTATTTATGGCATGGCTACCGCTTACTGCATATGTCTATACTTTAAAACAGAAAGTGGCCTCGTGTCGAGTTCGTTAATAAGATATAAAGGATATTCTTGTGGTTCCATGTTTCCTCTTGATCACCAGGGAGTCCGTTATCACTATGTACTAGTTTTAATGTCGCCTATTAAAATATTCCGATACAGTTTATAGACATTGTGACCCCTTCCTGTCCTTGTTTACGTGTTATAATGAGGTACTCGGCCAATACTCCGGTCATTAACACACCTGTAGTGGTCATCTGGTACAAGGTAAGACACCAAGGTAAACACGTTTACCAACATTGCATATAGTAGAGTCTATTTATAGTTGATCTGATTATGGCACATTGTATTTTAGGATGAATCTCGTATTATATAGTTATGTAAATACTTGTCGTATTATATAGTTATGTAAATACTTGAAACAAAAGAAAAACCACTGTACTCTGCCATTGTTAGCTGACCAAGCGCTCCATAGTTTATACATATTCCCTGCCAGTGGTTTTGAGCTAAACGTTTCTGTATTCTTGCGAAGAGAACATGCAAATATCATTGTAAGAGTAGGGGCGTCAAAAAATGTCTTTGTTTTTTCAGTGTTGACATGACAACTTGAAGGTATTTATTTCACATACGTATACATAAACACGAGTCACTGTATATCTACAATAGTTCATGGTCAAATCGCACGACGATTGTAGGTACGACTATCGCGAGTATGCTGTCTTCTTATCAGCACTGAAGGATTATTAGATGAAACCTTTTACTATTCACATTGTGAATGTATACGAATTATTATATCGACCCACGTTCCTGAGGTAATTATCATAGCGAGTGGACTTCCGATCCTCAATTACAATGTACCTGCACTCAAAACTTGGCTAGCTTATCGATCATTTACATTTTTCATCAAGCAAATCTTCAAGCTGAAACTATTAACAAAATTAAATGCAGGTATAGAAAATAAATCCACACAAAGAATTGTATTATTTCAGACATTTTGAGTCGTTCAGAGCTAATCACAAATTATAGCGTTTAGATTGGTAAAGCTAGGAACATGGAGGTCCCGGCTGTAAAGTGGGAAAGTAGCTCACTTCCGGTAATTTATCATATTACTGTCAAAATTAAAACGCCAGTCACTGAACGTCCGCGTCGGGAACGCTAAAACAAAACATTAAAACTACGGCAGAGTATAATAACGTAGAACCATTCACTACAATAATGAAACCATGACGCTATTTTACGAAAATGCAAGCCTAACGGTTTTTAAGTAGTCTAAAACACAAAACAGCAGCTGGAATTTATCCGGAATCTTTATTTAGTTTCTACCGTTCCCAGTCGGTGAAGACGTCATTAACAATTACTTTTACGATGAAAAACACAAAACTTCCATACATAATTGACGAAGCGCGTCGGAGGCAGAGAAAAGTTACAGCTCTGACAATGGCCAATTATAGCTCACTCACTTCCACCATACTCCGTGAAATACTCTCTCCTGTAATCTCAAAGGGCCGTGCTCTCAATCTCATGCTTTGGATTTCCCCGCGCAGGTGCACGTTTACGTGAGGATGTTAAAAAGTCATGTGGTCTGTTAGTGGTCTTGGGATTCAGTATCTGTGGTTTCATCTTATATTTGCGATTCGGAGAAAGTATGGAGAAACACGAGCTTTCAGCATGCGTGACTACTAACACATCTTAGCTCGGGGTAAATTGTACCTGTCCTGGTACAGTCATCCATCCCTGGGTCAAACAGTAAGCTTTCTATAAACTCGGCAGAGATTTATGTTTCATCATATAAAATTACATAGGATTCGTTGCCCGTGTCTGCTGGGGAAGTGATCTAAGGGTGAAAACGCTATTACGAGACAGAGACAATATACCATAAAGGCTGTGCAATGCTTACTTGGAACAAGACAATTGCATGTGATTTTCTATAACGGTAATGGCACACTGTAGGAAAATGGCTGAAACGCCATGACTGCACGAAATTGTAGTTCTATGTATAGAGAAGTAGGAATTTACGTCACACGACATTGACGGCGTCCTTGAAACAACCGAAATTTATCGAGAACAATAAAATTAACTTCTCTAGAACAATGAATTACAGAGTTATATAACCCAGAATTAAATTAGCAGTAATAAAATAAGACCATCAGGAAATTTCCATCACAATTAGCTATGTGTGAGTGGTTTACAATGCAATATTTTAGTTAATACCTGCAATAAGTCGTACTTAATTCACAGCGAGAGACATTAAATAAAACAACCTTAAAGTCACTACTAAAGCTACCATCATCAGTTTGATTCTGCACGTGTAAATTCACATCCGACACGTGTAATCCCTAGCCCTGTAGATGTATGTGTCGGTACCAGTGTTATGATAAACGTCAAAACGCCATGTATGTAAGTTTATATACTACACTGGTGTTTACTCCAGTCCTATATATTAGTATACACGAGGTAAACAATGCCCTAGGTCACAATTATTCATACATTTTCTATTAACACAGCGGTGTGCATTATGACCAGAAAATAATGGTCCCATTGATTACATTTAAGTTGTGAAAAGACATCTGAAAGTCTGAAAACTCCCAACTCTAGAAACGAACACAGACTTTCATTGAGTTATGTTATATAAATAATATTTTGCCGTATTCTACAACTGGGATAAAGCTAACGTCTCTGTGTCCGTTAGGGGATACAAATGTCCATCTTTTCTGACGGCTCTAAGAGCTAGCCAATTTCCTTAACGAAAATCAAATATTTGTTTTATAGAGAGACCAACTTCCGTCTGTTTCGACACAGAAAATTCCCAAGAATCGTCGACAAGCGCGCTGCCGTTACACCGGGTGTATAGGAAGCACACATAGTTATTGGTATTCGATATTAGCATTATTTAAGAGAGCGGTAAATCTATAATGAAAACTAGCGACACACCGGATACAAAAGCCTTTTAACAAATTGATTCATTCCGTGTTCAAAGTTTGTCCCGAAGACATGAATGAAAGTGAAACGTTACAAAGAACCGGGTAACGAATTGACAAGCTATCGACCAGTACATATCAGACAGTAACAACTCACATTATACTGTAAGATGGATTAACAATCATTGCTGGTAGAATATGTCTTCTCTCTATTCGAAAAAGAAATATCACGCCATCATACTTTTAATGAGGTTACAGCTGTACCATTGATACAACTAGATCTACATCGAACCACTCCATTAATTAACAAGATCATAATCCAGCTCCTAATTCTACAACTCTGTCATACAACTAGATCTACATCGAACCACTCCATTAATTAACAACATCATAATCCAGCTCCTAATTCTACAACTCTGTCATACAACTAGATCTACATCGAACCACTCCATTAATTAACAACATCATAATCCAGCTCCTAATTCTACAACTCTGTCATACAACTAGATCTACATCGAACCACTCCATTAATTAACAACATCATAATCCAGCTCCTAATTCTACAACTCTGTCATACAACTAGATCTACATCGAACCACTCCATTAATTAACAACATCATAATCCAGCTCCTAATTCTACAACTCTGTCATACAACTAGATCTACATCGAACCACTCCATTAATTAACAACATCATAATCCAGCTCCTAATTCTACAACTCTGTCATACAACTAGATCTACATCGAACCACTCCATTAATTAACAACATCATAATCCAGCTCCTAATTCTACAACTCTGTCATACAACTAGATCTACATCGAACCACTCCATTAATTAACAACATCATAATCCAGCTCCTAATTCTACAACTCTGTCATACAACTAGATCTACATCGAACCACTCCATTAATTAACAACATCATAATCCAGCTCCTAATTCTACAACTCTGTCATACAACTAGATCTACATCGAACCACTCCATTAATTAACAACATCATAATCCAGCTCCTAATTCTACAACTCTGTCATACAACTAGATCTACATCGAACCACTCCATTAATTAACAACATCATAATCCAGCTCCTAATTCTACAACTCTGTCATACAACTAGATCTACATCGAACCACTCCATTAATTAACAACATCATAATCCAGCTCCTAATTCTACAACTCTGTCATACAACTAGATCTACATCGAACCACTCCATTAATTAACAACATCATAATCCAGCTCCTAATTCTACAACTCTGTCATACAACTAGATCTACATCGAACCACTCCATTAATTAACAACATCATAATCCAGCTCCTAATTCTACAACTCTGTCATACAACTAGATCTACATCGAACCACTCCATTAATTAACAACATCATAA